ATGCACACATACAACACACACACCACACACACATACTAACCACACACTGCATAAACCAACCACACAAACACACATACATACACATCACACATACACAACACACGCCAAAAATAGCAGAGTAAGGGCACTTAGAAATAAAATCAAGCTGGGAGTGGTGACACATGCCTTTAACCCCAGCACTCGGGATGCAGAAGCAGGTGGATCTCTTGAGTTCGAGGCTCTTGGTCTACTGAGCAAGTTCCATGACAACCAGGGCTACACAGAGGAAACCCTGTATTGGAAAAAAAAATCAGAGATAGGCACCATAGACTTTAAGAGAGACATACAGAATCACACTAGGACCCATGAAGAGTGATAAACATAGTCCTAGTAGCTGAGAAAAAAGAAAACAGAAGGTTGGGGATATACCTCAGAGGTAGACAGCTTGCCTACCATGTGTGATGTACTGTGTTCAATTCCAGGTACAAGAAAGGAGGGAGACCTAGAGAGATGGGGACAAAAATAAAGAGAACAGGAGAAACAAGAAAGAAATCGAAGAGAATGCAACAGAAACAGATGGGCTGTGCTCAGTGGTAGAGCCCCTGCCTAGAATCCCCCAGTGAGGGGCTGGGGTATGGCTCAGTGATAGAGCACCTGCCTAGAATCCCCCAGTGAGGAGCTGGGGTATGGCTCAGTGGTAGAGCCCCTACCTAGAATCCCCCAGTGAGGGGCTGGGGTTTGGCTTAGTGGTAGAGCCCCAGCCTAGAATCTCCCAGTGAGGGGCTGGGGGCGTGGCTCAGTGGCAGAGCCCCTGCCTAGAATCCCCCATAGGGGGCTGGGGGTGTGGCTCAGTGGCAGAGCCCCTGTCTAGAATCTCCCAGTGAGGGACTGGGATGTGGCTCAGTGGCAGTGGCACACCACCAACTTATACGCATGTCTACCTTGTCATCCAACATCCACAGAATCTAGGCAGAGAAGACAGCAAGAATGGGGCCATTGGGCCTATGTGATGGCTCAGTGTATAAAGGAGCTTGCGGCCAAGCCTGGTGATATGAGTTCAATCTTTGGGAACTACATGGTAGAAGGAGAAGACAGATTCTCACAAATTGTCTTCTGATTGTCACACATGAGCTGTGGCACTTACACACAAAAAACACAAAATAAATAAATGGAATTTATCTCTTTTTTAATGATACTGTCTTCCCCAGACTTCCAAGACTTTCCTGAACTTCCAGGCCTTACACACAAGAACATGCACGCACACACACACACACACACACACACACACACACATGCACACGATATACCACCTTACTATTTTCACCCATTCTGCTTTTTCCCCCCTTTAAATGGAGACCCTGCTGTCCCCCTACTTTAATTGCTACTTCATAACTGTAATTTTGTTATGGCTATGAATTATAATGCAAATATCTGATTTGCAGCCCCTGTGAAAGGGTGTTCAGCACCACCTCAAGGGGTCCCCACCCACCTGTTGAGAACTGCCGGTCTACTTACATGCCAGCTTTGTGAAGTCCCTCTTCACCATTCCCTGACTCTTACTGGTTCTCTTTCCTTTTATTTTGTCCTTGGCACTGTCTCCCCATTGTGTATATTCCTTACACGTCTATCCCCTAGACTTTCACAAACAGGAGTGTTGTGTGTGCATGTGCACAGGTGTGCAGGCCAGGAGTCAACCTCCAGTGTCTTCCTCTATCGCTCTCCATCCTAGTTTTTACACCGTGCCTCTCGTTTCACCTGGAACTCATCAGTTTGGCTAAGTTGGCTGGTCACAGAGCTTCCAGGTGCCTCCTGTCTCTGCCCCCAGTGCTGGGACTGCAGACATGTGCCACGACAGAGTCTCTCTGTGCAGCTCTGGCTGTCCTGGAACTCACTCTGTAGATCAGGCTGGCCTTGAACTCACAGAGATACACCTGCCTCTGCCTCCCGAGAACTGGAATTAAAGGCGTGCACCACCACCGCTGGCTCATACCTAGTTTTTCACATGGGTGCTAGGGGTAAAACTCAGGTCCTCATGCTTGGACCTTGAGCATTTTATTCACGGAGCATTCCCCAGACTAAGGATAGTTTTTAAAGAGTTTTGTTTTTGTCTGTTTTGGTCACAGTCATGAGCTCCTTGGCATACAGTGACTTCTCACTATGTTCTTTTTGCATGAATGTATAAACAAATGAATGTAGGAGAGCCCATGAGAGACAGAGAGTACCAAATGACGAGACAAACACAAGGTCTGAGAAGAGAGAAGAAAAGGATGTGGTGGCCCATGCCTATAAATCCAGTTCTTAGGAGCCTGCGTCAGGGGGGTCTGGAGTTTGAGGCCCAAGTCAGAGATATAAAAGGTTGAGGCCAACCTGGGCTACCATCAAGAGAAGGGGCATTAGCAATGCAGATATCATCTTTCTGTAAAGATGAAAGATGAGGAAACAGATACAGAAATAGAGGGTATGTGAAGGCAACAAGAGACCCAGCGTAGAAGGAGCAGGAGGGGCCCAAGAAGAGCAATCAGGACGGCAGCTACTTTGCCCTATTTCTCACCCGGAGTTAAGAGACAGAAAATACCTCAGAAATTAACCTGCAGTCAACTCCACTAGGACTTTGCAAGCAGGACTGGGTGGGAGGGGCGAGTGATGTGGGAAAGCCTTCCCCTCTGTGAGGCGGAAAAACAAATAGGGTTCCAATCCCAGCTGTACCACTTCCTGGCTAAGACACTGGACAAATGAACTCGCTCTCTGAGTGTCATATGTAAAACACAGCTCCAGAAAGTCGCTTGGGGATGGGGATGAGATTGGTTTGAGGAGGTGCTTGCCTGGCAAAGCCCTGGTTCCCTCTCCAGAACACTCCAAACGACTGTGGAGCTACATACCTGTAACCCAAATCCATGGGAGGCAGAGGCAGGAGAATAGGAAACTTAAGGTCATCCTTGGCTATACAGTAAATTCCGGGCCAGTCTGGGCTACCTGAGACCCTGTTTCAAAACAAAAACAAAAGCAAAGAAACCCAAAATCCAAGCAAAAGGAGAGCTGGAGAGCTGGTTGGTCAGTTAAGAGCGTTTGTTCTTCTCGCAGGGAATCTGGGTTTGGTTGCCTCCTCCAGCATCAGGTACCCACATGGTAAAACCGCAGCAAATCCCTTCCCTCTGCCTCCTCACCCTGCTAGGACACTCTGCTCTGCCCCATCAGTCCCCCTTCCCAGGGCCAAAATGCACCTTTTTACCTGTTACTGTCAGGGATTTTTGTCACAACCAGCCAGGAAGACTAATATACCAACCGCACAGCTTAGCCACCTTGTGGGAAAGCCTTCCCACCCACCCTATAGGTAGCAATGTGTTCTCTGTCAAATAAATATTCTGGGAGCTGGAGAGGTTCAGAGATGAGACCTGTCTCCATCCCTGCCTCTGCCAGCTCAGAACTGGGGCACACGTTCCCTGTGGGCTCCCACAGACCCCCCAAATTTTCTTGCTCTGACTTTGATATTAGTCCATATTTGTCAACCAACATAATGGGAGCCAGGAGTAGCTCCCCGGGAAAGCTGGGGCACAGCTCTGTGGAATCTAGGGGAGGATGATATAGGAGCTTGTGGGTCCACTGACACCCAGATTTGGTTCCCTTTGTCAGGCTAAAGAAAGGAGATTCTCACTGTTCAAATTCTGTATCTTCTGGGTTCACTACCTCCTGTTGGTGCACAAAGTTGTCATTTAAATCAAATCTTAAACAATACAACAAAGCTAGGAACAGTGGGGCTTGTCAGCAATCCCATCATTCAAGAGCCTGAGGCTGGAGGATTACTTTGAGTTTGACATCAGTCTAGGCTATATAGACATGTCTCATTTTTAAAAAAATATTTATTTATTTATTTTATGTACATTGGTGTTTTGCTTGCATGTATGTCTGTATGAAGGTGTCAGATCCCCAGGGAACAGGAATTACAGACAGTTGTGAGCTGCCATATGGGTACTGGGAATTGAACCTGGATCCTCTGGAAGAGTAGTCAGTGCTCTTAACCACTGAGCCATTCCACCTTCCCGCCTTCCCGCCTTCCCCAACCCCTGCCTCGTTTTTTTTTTGTTGTTGTTGTTGTTGTTGGTTTTTTTTTTTTTTTTTGGTCCCTTGTGACAGGGTTTCTCTGTGTAGCCTCGGTTGTGCTGAAACTCGCTCTATAGACCAGGCTGGCCTCAGACTCAGAGATCCATCTGCCTCTACCTCCCGAGTGCCGGGATTAAAAGACCACCAGCGCCCAGCAGACCGTATCTTAAAAAAAAAAAATCATAATGACGCATGTCTGTAATCCCAGAATGAGGTAGGTGGAGGCAGAAGGATGAGGAGTTCGAGGTCATCCTCACTTACTTATAATGTTCCAGGCTGGGTGGGTGAGACGACTCAGGAAGTGAAGGCGCCTGCTACCAAGCCTGAAAAGCTCCGTTTGATCCTCATACTCACGTGGTAGGAGGAGAGGACTCACACACACACACACACACACACACACACACACACACACACACACACGATAGATAGGTAGGTAGGTAGGTAGGTAGATAGATAGATAGATAGATAGATAGATAGATAGATAGATAGATAGATGTAAAAACGAAAATTCCAGGCCAACCTAGGCTACAAGAGACCCTATCTCAAAAACATAGATAAATAAACAAGGGGTTAAATTGAAATAAGAGAGAAACAGAGAAGCAGAAAATAGGAATGGGAGGAAAGATCTGGATATGCCTCCCCACTCCACTGTGCCCAGACCCCACTTTCTATGGTTCGGGAACTGGGGACCTACTTCTCCAGCAGCCGGGCCACTGCCTCCTGCGCCTGCTCCCCGTAGGCGTTGCCTTGCCGCAACAGGCCTTCTGCAGCTTGCACCGCCACCTGCATCTTTTGCTGGTTCAGCTCCATCGTGGTGAGAAAATCCCGGTGCCTTTTCATTGCCTCTTCCACTGACTCCACCGTGCAGGGGAGCTCAGCACCAGACAGCGCCACCTCCTGGGAACGGAAGGGACACAGGTCAGCTCGCCTCCACCCCAGGACGCCAGAGAGGCGGCCAGCGGGCTTCAAGCACTATTCTACTTCAGGACTTTTGCTCTTGCTGGCCTCTGTCCACTCTGCCCAAATCTAACAATGGCCCCTCTTGCTATTGCCTTCTAGCTAACCCACAACCCCAACAAGAAACTCCAATCGTGATTGTCTAAAAATTCATCTCTACCAAAACCTAAAACCCAAGAAGAACATGGTAGCGGACAACTTCAATCCCAGCACTTTGTGAGGTGTAGGCAAGTAGATCTGTGAGAGTGTAAGGCTAGCCTGGTCTACATAAAGAGCTCCAGACATCTTGGGCTACATGGTGAGACCCTGTCTCCATAAAAGTAAAGGGCTGGAGGGATGGCTCATCGGTTATGAGCATTTACAGCTCTTCCAGGAGATCCAAACACCCATGTCTGCCAGTTCACAACCACCTATAACTCCAGCTCCAGGGCTCCAGAACCTTGGCCTTCATAGGAACCTGTACTCAAATGCTTATATGCACATGTGCACACAATTAAAAATAATAAAAATAAATCCTTTTTTAAAAATTAAGCCAGGTGGTAAGGCAGGCTTTTAATACCAGCACTCAGGAGGCAGAGGCAGGTGGATCTTTGAGTTCAAGACTTGTCTGGTCTACAGAGTGAGTTCCAGGAGATCCAAGACTACACAGAGGTATTCTATCTTGAGGGAAAAAAGGATAGGGAGCTGAAAGATGGCTCAGCTGTTGCTCTTCTGGAGGACCTGGGTTCGATTCCCAGCACCCGTATGGTGGCTCAAAACTATCTGTAACTCCATTCCCAAGGGGTCAGCTGCTCTCTTTTGACCTCCTGGGACTCTAAATGTACTTTATGCGCAGACACACGTGAGCATACTAAATAAAAATAAATCTTCAAAAAAATTAAAATATGGTTGCATGTGGCGGTGCAGACCTTTAATCCCAGCACCCAGGAAGCAGAGGCAGGAGGATCTCTGTGAGTTCGAGGCCAACTTGGTCTACATAGCAAGATCCAGGACAGCCAAGATGACATAGAGAGACCCTGTCTCAGTGATAAATAAATAACAAAACAACCAACTCCAGAAACCCCACCCCACTCGACATAACCTTTAAATGCTGTCACACACCTGCCCTCCCCTTCACAGTCCAAAACTCAATTTTCCCGATAAACAACTACTTCTCCCTTAATTCCCTGTCCCCATCTCGAATAAGACAGAAATCTAGGGGTCCCGGAAAACGTAACTAAGTTAGTCCATATTCCACCCCCACCTATTGAAGCCCCAAACCCGCACCCCAGCGCACCGCCAGCGGGCACCTGGTTGCGCAGCACCGCGAGCGCCTGGCACAGGTCTCTCAGGAAGAGCTGATAGACGTGCGCCTGGACCAGCGCCTCCCTGCGGTCCTCCCACAAGCCGAGCAGTTTGTGCCAGCCAACCTCGAGGTGCGGCAGCCACTCGTCTAGCGCCAGGCCGGGGCCCAGCTCGGCACCGTCAGACGCCAGCAGCGCCTCGCTGGCAGCCACGATGCGCGTGTAATCCTCCTCGCGCTGGTCCACCTCCTCCTTGAGCGCGGCGTGCCGCGCCAACAGCGTGTCCGCCTCTTCCAGGCTGCGCGGCAGCGGTCCCTCGACAGCGCCCGCCGCCTCCTGCGCTCGCACCAGCCAGTCCAGGAAAGTATCCAGATCGCGCAGGAAACGCTGCAGGCGACTTGCCGCCGCCACTGCCTCGCCGCAAGCCTGAGCCGCTCCGGCCAGCGCGCCCCACTCGGCTCCCAGTTCCTCGGCGCCCTGGTGCAGGCGTGTCGCCTGTGCCGGGAAGCGCTCTGCCAGCAGTGCAGCCTCCTCTAGCAGCGCCGCTTGTCGCGGCTCCAGTGCCTGCAGGGCCGCCTCCAGGCCACTCAGGCGCCACTGAAGGGCTCCGCCCGCCCGGGGCGCGCTTTCCACCGCGCGCCGCTTCTCGCGCACTTGGGCGCGCACCTCGGCCACTTCCAGCACGTGATTCTCCACCAGCAGCACAGCGCTCATCTCTTCTTTGCGCTGTTCCACCAGCTCCACGATGCGGTTCCACCTGTCCAGGAGCAGGAAAGAGGGTAATCAACCTGAGGCCCATGAGACCAGGATAAAATTCATTCCTTGGCCAGGGGACCTGGGAAAAAGTGGGTTTGTGCCTGGATAAATAGGATCCCACCCTGGACAGTGCTTAGAGCGGCAGCTCTCAATGTATCGCTCCAGCGCCATCAAATTTTATCTTCATAATAATATTAGAACCCTGTTTGTCATCTCATTCTCTTCCGGAGTTTAATCAGCATTTCCAGAGGCCAGATGTTAGCAACTAAAGACAAAAAAGAGACCAGAGAACTCAGCATCCTGCCTTAAGGCACAGTCAGTGCAGAGAACTACAGCTGTGGGGAGTGGCACATGCCTATAATCTTAGCACTCTCGGGCTGAAGGAGGAGGATCGTCTTGAGTTCGAGACCAGCCTTGGATATATAGATAAGAGAACAAGAAAGACAGAGGGCATGCTTCACAATGCTACTCTTTTCACTGCTTTCTATTATGAAAAATACTTACATTTAGGGTCTGGGATGTAGCTCAATGATTCAACAGTTGCCTAGCATGTGCAAGGTCCTGGATTCCATTCCCAGCATCATGAAAAAAAGAATTAATTGTGCCAACATAGCACAGGCTCTTTTATTTATTCAGGTCTGATTTTTGCAGCCGTGTGTGTGTGTGTGTGTGTGTGTGTTGTGCATACACATTTGCATGTGTGTCCTGGTGCACATACATGTGAGTTAGCCTGCAGAAGCTAAAGGCTGGACATACCTATCTTCCTAAATCACTTTCCATTTTGTTTCTTGAGGTAGGCTCTCTCCCTGCATCTGTAGCTCTCCAGCTCTGGCTATCTGGCTAGTCTGGGGAGGGAGGATCCTTAGCTCCGCCTCTCAAGTGAGCAGACTTCTAACTGCTAACCCTGTTGCTGCCCTCACACTTGTAAGATAAAGTAGGTGAGGACTGTTTGTTCTTAGATTTTTTTTTTGGTCTGTGCTCATTTCTTCTGGATGTATGTATGTGCAACAAGTGTCAGCCACATGCCCTTAGAGGTTAGAAGAGGGTGTTGGATCCCCTGGAACTGGAGTTACAGAGGGTTATGACCATCGACAAGAGTAGTGCTCTTAACTGCTACGCCATCTCTCCACGCTACCCCATCCATCCCTTTTTAGATGAGTTCTAGTATATATCTCGGGCTGGTGTCCTGCTTCAGACTCCTGAGTGGTGGGATCGGACACAGACATGCCTCTGGTTTTTGAGGGAGGATCTTGCTAAGTTGACAAGGCTGACCCTGAATTGCTGGACTCCAGTTCCTTCTTCCTTGGCCCCTATATAGTAGATGGACCTGACTGGACTTCACTTTTGAAGATCTGAGTTTCATGTCCCAGTCCTTCCCACGCCAACAGGACTTCTAGTGTGATGTTTCTGGAGGAAAGACATTAACTTGCTATTTGTTCTGAAACAATTCTAAATTCTGGGCTTAAAAGATATTTCAACACTTGGGAGGCAGAGGCAGGTGGGTCTTTGTGAGTTCAAAGCCAACCTGGTCTACAGACCGAATTCCAGGACAGCCAGAGCTACATAGAGAAACCCTGTCTCGGAGGGGGGAAAAAGACACACAAACAGAAAGAAAGAAAGAAAGAAAGAAAGAGAAGGGAGGGAGGGAGGGAAGGAACAAAGGAAGAAAGAAAGAAAAAAAGAGAAAAGAACCCCACCCATCCCCAAAAGAAAAAAGATGACTTAAGGAGTAAAAACACCTGCCACCAAACCTAATGACCTGGGACACACGTGTTGGTAGGAGAGAGCTGACTACTGAGATTGTCTTCTGACACACACACACACACACACACACACACACACACGCACATACACGGGGGGGGAGGGGGACAAGGAGAGGGACGAGAAGGAAGAGAAAAGGAAGAATGGAAGGAAGGAAGAGGAGGGAGGGAAGGAAGGAAGAAAGAAAATGCAATTTTTAAAAACATGTCCTAAACTCTGGAAACTCTATTATGGAAATTGGGAGATGAGGAGATAAAACAGTAATATAAAGTGCTCAGGAGTCTGGTCATGACAGTACATGCCTGTACACCTATCACATGAGAGGTGGAGCACAGCCTTGTTATACAGGAAGTTCAAGACTAGCTTAGGGTACACAAGACCTTATCTCAAAATGGCAAGCAAGCTGGCTATGGCGGGACACATCTTAATCCCAGCAGTGGTGAGGCAGAGGCAGGCAGAGCTCCGTGAGTTCAAGGTGAGGTCAGCCTGACTTACATAGCAAGTTCCAGGATGGCCAGTGCCACACAGTGAGCCCCTAACTCTAGGTAGGTAGGTAGGTAGGTAGGTAGGTAGGTAGGTGGATGGATGGATACATACATACATACATACATACATAGGTAGACACATAGATTCATAAAAAATAAACAGCAAAACATAGAGCCAGGTGTGGTGGCACATGCCTGTAATCCTGGTACCTGGAAGGTGGAAGAAAGAAGATCAACAGTTCAAAGTTGTCCTCAGCTACACAGTGAGTTCAAGGCCAGCCTGAGCAACAGAAGCCCTTGCCTCAAGAACAAAGTAATAGAGAAGTGAATAAGAGTCCCCAAATAAGATGAAGTGCTTGGGAAATCTGGCCAATAATAGCACCTCATAAATTCTTTCTGAGCAAACTAGTGAATAGCCAATGAGATGGCTGGCCATATTAGCTCCATCACCACCAGCACTGAGTATGTATCACCTTTTCGCCAAGGTTTTCCTTGAGATCGAAAAGATGGTTCAGTGGTTAAGACCTCATACAGCAGAGGACCCTATTTCCATCCCCAGCTCATCAGAGGGCCCTGTTAACTCCAGCTCCAGGGGATGCAATGCCCTCTTCTGGCCTCTACAGGCACTGCACTCAAGTGTGTGCCTTTCAGAAAGATTTTCCTGATTTGTAAGGTGTACATTAACACCTCACGGGGGGTTGGAATCACACACCTTTGGCTTTCCCAGACAGAGAAGGTACCGACAGGAAGGCCTTTCCTACCCAGGCCCCACTTACCTGCTGTTGAGGTGGTCCTGGCAGGAGCGCACTTCATCTGAGCTGGGGTGACCTCCTTCCACCAACTCCTGAACTGTGTGGTTCACATCCAGGACTCGGCCCATCAGGCTGTTCATCTCCTGGTCCAGACTTTCGAATCTGCAGAAGAGGGTGGAGAAATCAGAGGGCCGGACTCGCAGGAAGCAGCTCACTTCTTTGGTTATAGGTTCTTATGCCACTTCTCACTTTTCCTTGTAGGAGTTTTTCTCTTTCTTTCTTACTTTCTTTTCTTTTTCTCTCTGTCTTTCCTTCTTGCTGCTGCTGGAGTTTGATCGCACAGGTAGCCCAAGGCTGGCCTCAAACTCTCCGTGCAGCTGAGGATGACCTTGAACTCAGGCATGCCCGCCGCCCTGACCAGCTAAGGCCCTAGATTTTCCAGAGGCTGCTGAAGTGTTAGACTGCTCAGCACTTCATCCTGGTCCTCTGGACTTTCCATCACACTGTCCCTGGTCACAGCATCCATCCTTCCACTCTGCAGCCTCACCTGCCAAGGGCAGTCATGTAGGTGAGAGAATGTCTTGGCATCTCTCTTCCTGTGTAATCCTCCCCTGACCCCCTTGCTCACAGCTCCCAAGCTCCTGACCCCTAAATCTTATTTTGGAGAACTGCCCCAGATCATGATTCCCCCATGGTCTATATCTATTTGGCCTCCTGTCTGCTCCCAAGTCAGCTGCCACTGTCACCTCCCTCAACCTGTCCTCCATATGTCAGGCCAGGATTATTGATTTATTTTTAATTTTTGAGGCAAGGTCTCACTATGTAGCTTTGGCTGTTCTGGAACTCATGCAGACCAGACTGGCCTCGAATTCACAGAGATCTGCCTGTCAATGCTGGGATTAAAGGTGTGCTCCAGGATGGGAGTCAGGTTAGGAGCTAGAGAAATGACATCTGTCTTAATGGGAGACCCAGACATGGGCCAGGTTGGGTTTGTCAATATGTGTGCTCTGTGAATATAAACCTCACAACAGCAGCAAGTGGTTGTGGGAGGCTCTGCACCCCGGAAGCATTTGCTAGGTCTTTCACATTTGTGAACTCATTTCCTGTTCACCACAAGCGTGAGACGTAGGCAATGATGCCCACCCTGTTTGATACATGGGCAAACCGATGTCCAGAGTATAAGGCAGTCACAAAGCCGATGAAGACTAAAGCTAGGGTTGCCCCCGTGTGAACTGTTGAGCCAAAGCATGTGAGGTTGGGTGTGTGAGCAAGGGGTCATGAGGGTCTTCCACGTGCGCGCTCACCGGTGCTGCACCACTTCAACGTCGTCGAGGGAATCGGGTACACGCATGGCCAGCAGCCACTGCTCTTTCTCGCCGATCCACAGCTCGCACGCGTGCACCTCGCCAAACATACGGTACACGGCGAGCGCGTCCCGCAGCCACTGGCGTCGCAGCGCGGCCACCTCGGTCACCTCGGCGAACAACTGCTCGGCTTCCACCACGCGCACTTGCAGCGCCACCACCAGCGGCCCGGCACCACTGGCTCCTCCCAGTGCTGCCAGCTGGCGCCGCAGGCCACCCACAGGGCCGCGGTGTGCTTCCACCTCCCCGGTGAGGGCGCGGTGCTGGCGTGCCAGGCGACGGCTGGATGCCTCGTCGTGACCGAAATCGCCGGCCGCTGCCAGGCGGTACGCGTCGCGAAGCCAGTCCAGGAGCCCGTCTAGGTCCGCGCCGAACTGATGTAGAGCCCGCGCCTCCTGCAACCTTCGTTCCCGGCGCGCAGCCGCCTCTTCCAGCCGCTGCCACCGACGCCGGGCGCTCGCCGCGCGCTCCGCCAGGCTGGACAAGTGCAAGGGCTCAGCCCCCGGACCCACGGAGCCACCCGCCGCCGCCAGCTCCTCTCCGCGTCGCAGTGCCTGCTGCAACAGCGTCCGCCGGCCGCCTAGTTCGCCCTGCAGGATCTTGTGCTGCGCCAGCAGGCGAGCGGTACTGGACAGGTCGTGCGCGCCTCCCGCCGTGCCCGCCGCGCCGCCACTGCCGCTCGTGGCCTCTAGGAGGCGCTCTTTGTCCCGCGCCCAGCTCTCCGCCTCCTCCAGCTCCTGCAGCAGCGCCCACAGGCTCCGCGAAGCCTCCAGCTCCGCGCGTCGCCGCGCCGCCTGATCCTGCAGCTCCGCCAGACAGCCGTGCACGTGGTTCACGCGGTTACAAATGACCTGGGGATCGCAGGGCTGATAGCCTGGGGCAGGGGAAGGAGAGGATAGGAAGAGGCGCGAGCCCGTGTCACCTCGTCCTAAGACTTTCTGAACACCCCAAGCTTGGAGCAAGCACTGGATTCTCAGCCTTCTCACTGGCTACCTCAACCTGTTTAGTCTTTCTTTGGGGTAATGGTTCCCTTCGGGCTGGTAAGGACTATCTCCTTCATTAATTATCACATTCCACACCATTCCAAACAGGGCAGAGCTCGGTGAATGGGGCGACCTGCAGCTGACTGTTGGGTTCCAAGCATCTCAGATGTGTATTTGAGAATGTAAATTCTGTTTCCCTGGAAACGGGCCAAGTGTAACTTCCTTGCCCTTCAGGAAGTGTTCAGGATTCCCTCTCCTTGCCTCATCTATTAACGTGGTTTTTTGTTTGGTTGGTTTTTGGTTTGGTTTGGCTTGGTTCTTTTGAAACAGGGTCTCGCTATGTAGCTTTGACTGTTCTATAATTCACTATGCAGACCGGGCTGGCCTCAGACTCTCAAGGTCCACCTACCACTAGCCTCTCTAATAATGGAATTAAAGGTGTGTTCCGGGGTCTGGAGAGATGGCTCAGAGGTTAAGAGCATTGCCTGCTCTTCCAAAGGTCCTGAGTTCAATTCCCAGCAACCACATGGTGGCTCACAACCATCTGTAATGGGGTCTGGTGCCCTCTTCTGGCCTGCAGGCAGAATATTGTATACAAAGTAAATAAATAAATATTAAAAAAAAAAAGGTGTGTTCCATCATGCTGTCCCGTGAACTGTTTTCCTCGAATAATTTTACTTCCTCCGTAGTCCCTATTCTTAAGTAGAGAAATTGCGAAATTCATTTAACTGTCAACCTGTCTTTCATGGAGCAAATACAGTCGATAGTGCATGCCTGTAATCCCAGAGTTTGGGAGGTGGGGGCAAAGGGATTGCAAGTTCGAAGTCATCCTGGACTTCATGACAAGACTCTGTCTACAAATCTAAAAATTAAAAAGGAAAGATGGCTCCGCACTTAAGAGCACTTGTTGCACTTCCAAGCGACCTGAGTTGGGTTCCCAATTGGCTCACAACTGACTGTAACTGAAGCTGCACAGGATTTGGTGCCCGATTCTGTCCTCCCCGGGCACCCACACTCACGCAGACACACGCACACAAGTAAAATTCATCTTTAAAAATATTTTTAAAGTCAAGCTAAGTGGCCTAGCTATTTAGGGAACTGGCCGGGTTACCAAGTGAGTTCGGGGCTAGCCTGAGCACCTTAGTGAGGCCCTGTGTCAAAATCAGAAAGAAAAAGGAGGCACAGCATAGCTCAGCACTAGAGTATTTGCTCAAAAGGCACCTGTGAGCAGCTGGGGCCACCGGCTCAATGTGTCTAAAGTCCTGGGTCCAATTCCCAGCATTGAAAAGAGGCAGGGTCAATCAAAAGACGCTCTGGATTAGTAGTGCATCATCACCATGACAACACAGCCCACACTGGTCTCTTTGTTGTACCTTGGTGCTGCTACTGGTCATCTCAGAGGCTGGGAAATCACGAGGAGGGCAGGGGAGACCTCCTGGACATTCATCCCTAAGGCAAGAGAGGACCCCAACAGACTCCTCTGAGTCTGGGTCAGCATCAGGACAGCCACCAGGATTAGGGAAAAAAAAAAACAAACACCCAATGCTCTCGCGCTCTCTCTCTCTCTCTCTCTCTCTCTCTCTCTCTCTCTCTCCTCTCCCTCTCCCTCTCCCTCTTTCTTTTTTTGAGAGAGGAAGACAAGTAACTTCAAATAACTTGAACTCGCTGTGTAGCCAAGGATGATCTTAAGCTTCCAATCCTCCTGTCTCCATCTTCCAAGTGCAAGGCTTACAGTCACCATCATACCGTTTGTTTGTGCAAAGGATTGAACCCAGGGCCTCCTGCATGCTAGGCTAGAACTCCCCCACTTAGCCACATCCCCAGCCCAAATCTGCTCTTAGGAAATAGCACATTCCCAATAAGAGTGAGAAACTCCTCCATCATCTTGCAAGCTCTAAGGTGTGGGCTTCAGTTTTCTCATCAAAGAAAAGGCTGCCAGCACTCAGGGCTAGCCGATAAACATCAGACAAGAATCGGAACACCGTCAAAGAAGCCATTCCCTGACCACAGTGTAGTAGAACAAAAGCGAGCTGATTCACAGGCATTTCTGGGCACAGACAAAATTAAGGTGGCTGTGCAAACCACAATGACCCCACATCCCCTCAGCCGGCTGAGGTAACTAAGTGCTATTGTTAACTGCAGAAGTTTCCACTTGTTATATAAATAAGAATGATTGGAATGCTAAGTCCCGAGAGGCTGGAAAGATCACTCATGGTTAAGAGCATCTCTGCAGAAGACCCCGGTTCAATGTCCAGCACCCACATGGCAGCTCACAACTACAGTTATCCAGTGCCCTCTTCTGACCACCAAGGTCACCAGGCATGTATGAGATACATACATACATACATGCAGACAAAAAATAAATCTAAAAACAAACAAAAAATTGAGACAGGGTTTCTCTGTGTAGTTCTGGCTGTCCTGGAATTCACTCTATAGACCAGGCTGACTTTGAACTCAGAGATCCTCCTGCTTCTGCCTCCCGAGTGCTGGGATTACAGGTGTGCACCACCACACCGGCACATCCTCAACTCTTTGCATGTTTGATGTTGTTGTTTTATGATGCTAACTGAGATTAAGCTGTGAAAGGCTTAGCACATTTATGTTCAAAACAAGAGAAGTATTTCTGTATAATCGCAAAACAGGACAAAAATTTGGTGGTCCAATACTCCACTCAGCATTGGCACCCCCATGATCTTCCTAACCAAGTGAGATCCTAGACTCTACTTAGATGCCTCCAAGAACAGTGAGACCTACCCTCCCTCCCTCCGTCCTTCCCTCCCCCTCCCCCCCTCTCTCCATCCCTCCTCCCTCATCTCTCAGGAGTCCTCAGTGCCTCCAGCATGAAAGACTCCCCCCTCCATTCCCCAGACTCACCCTGCAACTGAGAGAACCTCAGAGCTGCAGCATTGAGGGCCTCCACCCGCTCACTCTGGGCTGCAATGTCCCCCTCCAGGAGTCCATGCTTCTGCAGCAGGTCATCAGCCTCCACCAGATGCTGCCCACATTCCCGAGACAGCAGCTGAGTCTGCCAGGAGACAGCACTGAGTTCCCCACTGTCATCACTCAGGGCCACTCACCTCTCCCCACACCACACCAGCCTTTGGTACAGGACAGTACTAGGGTAATTCTCATCTCTGTCATGATCTCCCTGTCTCTGTCACCCCGCAGCCTGTGTCTCTGTCACCCGCATCCCATGTCTCTGTCACCCACATCCTGTGTCTCTGTCACCCACATCCCGTGTCTCTGTCACCCCGCATCCCGTGTCTCTGTCACCCACATCCCGTGTCTCTGTCACCCACATCCTGTGTCTCTGTCACCCCACATCCTGTGTCTCTGTCACCCACATCCTGTGTCTCTGTCACCCGCATTCTGTGTCTCTGTCATCCCGTGTCTCTGTTACCCACATCCTGTGTCTCTGTCACCCACATCCTGTGTCTCTGTCACCTGCATCCTGTGTCTCTGTCATCCACATCCCGTGTCTCTGTCACCCACATCCCGTGTCTCTGTCACCCACATCCCGTGTCTCTGTCATCCACATCCTGTGTCTCTGTCACCCGCATCCTGTGTCTCTGTCACCCACATCCTGTGTCTCTGTCACCCACATCCTGTGTCTCTGTCACCCCGCATCCTGTGTCTCTGTCACCCCGCATCCTGTGTCTCTGTCACCTCGCATCCTGCATCTCCCAGAATGTTCCTGTCTCTCACTGTCTCCATAGCGCTTTCATAGATCCCACCCCTCTCTCTTCCACGTTCCCTCTTTCTGTCTTTCTTCTCCTTCCCTTTACTCCCCACCCCTCCCTATTTTTCTCTCTGTCTCTTCTCTCCCTCTCTTTACTCTCTCTCTATCCATCTATCTTTGGTCGACATCTCTTCTCCAAACTAACTCTATCCAGGTGTTTTCCCTCTAGCCAGATATCTGTCTACTTTTCTGTGTGTGTGTGGTTTGTGGGTGTGTGGTGTATGGGATGTGCGTGTGTGGTGTGTGTGTGCATGGTATGCATATACATGTGTATGAGTATGTGGGCTGTTTGTGGTGTGTGTGTGTGTATGGTGTGCATGGTGTACCGGGTGTGCAGGGAGTATGTGTGTGTGTGGTTCCATGTGTGTGTATGTGGGGAGTGTGGTGTGTATATGTGTGTGGGATGCTTGTGGTGAATTAAGTGTGTATGGGGTATGTGGAGTGTGTGTATGTGTGTACATGTGTGTGTGATATGTGTGCATGTATATGTATGTAATTGTGTATGGGGTGTGTGGCGTGTGTGTGTGGTATATGGGGTGTGGGGGGGTATGTGGTGTGTGTGATGGGTATGTGTGTACATGTGTGTATGATGTGTGTGCATGTATATATATGTAATTGTGTATGGTGTATGGGGTGTGTGTATGGTGTATGGGTGTGTGTGGAGTATGTGGTGTGTGTGATGTGTATGTGTGTGCATGTGTTTGCAATGTGTGTGTGGTTGTGTATATGGTATACATGTGGTGTATGTGGTGTGTGTGGTATATGGGATGTGTGTGGGATGTGTTTATGTGTTCCATGGGGTGTGGGAGTGGGCGCATGTGTGACACTGGGGGCACTCATGCCAAAACATGCGTGTGAAGGTCAAAGGGCAACTCTGTGGTCAGTTCTCCCTTCCACGTGGGTTCCAGCACCTACAGCGTGAGCGACTTCACCTGCCGCACCATCTCACTTCTCCTGCTTTTGCTGCATTTGTTTACTTATTTACTGTGCTGCATGGGCACAAATGTGCTCATCTGCAAGGATGTCAGAGGACAATTTGGGGAGTTGGCTCTCTCCTTCTATCAGATGAGTCTTGGCAATTGAATCAGATCACTGGGCTTGATAGCAAACACCTTTACCTGCTGAGACATCTTGCTGAACTTTTTGTTTGTTTGTTTGTTTTGTTTGCTTGCTTGCTTTTCAAAACAAGATTTCTCTGTGTAGCATTGGCTGTCATGGAAATCTCTCTGTAGAACAGGCTGACCTCAGACTCACAGAGATCCACCTACCCGTCTCCCAAGTATGGGAATTAAAGGTGTGCACCAGCACTGTGGTCTATTATTATTATTATTATCATTGAGCACTCTAAGTAGCTGAGGATGACCTTGAACTCCAGGTCATCCTCCACCTCCTGAGTGCCAGGGTTACGGTGTGCACTACCACACCCAGCTGTAGGTGGTGCTGGGGTGGAACCCCCGGCAGACAAGCACTGTGCCAGCTGAGCTACATCTCCACCCTGTGGCCTCCTCTTCATTTCCGTCTTTTTCCTCCCACATCTCTACCTCTGCACAGGCTCTGCATCCTTCCCTGTCCTCCAAGCATCCGGGCCCCGACTCAGGTTCTCACCTGCATCTCCTCCATCCAGTCCACCATGTAGACCATCTCCTGGAAGACCTTTTGCAGGGCCAGATTCTGCTCCAGCCGGGTCCTTCGGGCACCCACCAGCCCAGTCAGCAGGGCCCACTGGCGAAGGACACTGTCGCGCTGGGCTGCCACCCGCCGGGCATCATAGTAGCCTTCAGCTGCCAACGCCTGGGCTAGCTCTGCCACACCCTGAACCCGCTCCTCGTAGGCTGCAATATCTGCCTCGATGGCTTCATGTTTCTTCATGGCTGCCTCCACCGCTGGCAGCTCATAGCCAAAGTTGTCCTGGGCAGTCGCAGGCCACAGACACTTACCATGCTGCTTCCGCAGCCCACCTGCTGCCTTGACCCAAAATGATCCTAGCAACTCTCCCCTCATCATCTCAGGGATCAAGCCTGCAGCTTCTTCATCCCAGAGACCAGCCCCACTTTTCCAGTTACCACGAACATCAATCCTCCTTTCCCTGTGAGTCTGGAGACCACCCCACCCCCACTGGTGACCCTGGAAATCAGTCCCGTGTTAACCTGGAGACTAGCCTCACCCTATTCAGTTACCTTAGAAACCAGTCTCATCTTCCTTTGTTACCTTGGAGACCAGTCCTGCCCACCTCCAGTTACCCTAGAAATCAAACCTACCTTCTCCTGCTGCCTTGGAAACCAGACCCATCATAGTTTCTCTTGACAACAGAACACCTTTTCTAGTTGCCCTGGAGATGAGTTCACTCCCCACTCCCGTTATGCTGGAGACTAGCCCCACGCTCCCTGGTTACTCTAGAAATCATCCCACCTTGCCCAATTACTCTAGAGATCAGCCTTATTCTCCTCTCATTTGTCTACCTGTGAACTTGTTACCCAGAAAGCATCTCTGCATCGTCCTGGAGAATGGGGACCAGATTTGCCCCATCCCCTGACTTATGAGACCAGTTCTACTCTCTGGAGTTACCCTGGACACCAGATACAATCTCCATCTTCACTTACTCTACTTAAACATTCCTCTGACGTGGAAGGGCGGACGATTTTCCCCCTCTACTCAAGATCAACTTCACTCTCCTGTCACTTCAAAACTCAGATCCATTTCCCTCACCGATCTCTCAGGACTTCCCTTCCAATCCTCCTTTGTGACCTAAAAAGCTAAACCAACCTTCCCTGTTCTCCATTTTGAGTCCCAAGGCAAAAGAGCCTTCTCACCTCCACCCCCCAACCCCCCACCCCCTCCACCCCCCCCCCCTAGACCCTCGATATCCCCCTCCCCCGCCGCACCTCTACCCCAGCCAGGTCCAGCCTTGTACCTGGGAGACCAGGCGCTGGTTCTCATTTAGCCAGCTTTCCCTCATGGCCACCTTGTGGTCGAACCTTTGAGCCAAGAGCTCCAGCTTCTCCTGTCGGATGAGCTCAGCCCTGAGGGCCGCCTCTCGCTCGTGTTCTGCCTTCTCCAGGTCGCCCCATGCCTGGGGGAAGACAGGAGGAGGTACTTAGATTCCAGCAACTGTCCCCAGCTTAGTGATCCTGGCTGTTCTGTCTGAGGCCACTCACAGCATATATGGCACCTTCGAGCAAATTAGAAGAAAAACAAACAAAAACAACAACAAACCAAACCGCTGCCTCCTCCTGATACTACCCCTGGAAAACTGGCAGAATAAACATTCAGTCCATGATTCTATAATGGGAACCTGTACAATACCATGATGCCACCTTGTCTCTCCCTATGTCCCCAACCTCACTGTAGTGGTTTGAAGGAAAATGACCCCCATAAGCTCCTAGGGAGTGGCGCTGTTAGGAGGTGTGGCCTTGCCGGAGTAGGTGTGGTCTTGTAGGAGGCTTTGCCACTCTCTCTCGCTGCTGTCTGTCACCCCGATGGAGAACTCTCAGCTCCTCCGTCACCACCATGTTCCCCGCTATAATGATAATGGACTAAACCTCTGAACTGTACGCCATTCAGTTAAATGTTTTCCTTTATAAGACACCATGAAGAGTCATGGTGTCTCTTCACAGCAATAAACCCAAACTAAGGCACTCACCTTGTCAATATCCCAGATGCCACAACCTTCCCGAGGCACAAAGAGGCGCCGGTTGTGGGCGCGCAGTTTGCTCTGGATACTGAAGAGTAGCACCTCCAGGTTCCCCTTCTCCTGAAACCTGAGGAGGCATGAGTTCAGGGTCCCGTCTCAGGCGCCCATCACCACCCCTCCACTCGGGAGCCGAGTCTCACTTGACGGGCTTCTCCAGCGTGCAGTAGGCGGTGAAAGCCTGCAGCTGCCGCTGCACCCCACTCAGGGAGTTGGCAAACTTCTGGTTGCTGATGAGGCTCACGGTGCGGTGGATCCAGGCCAGCAGCTCGGCTGCCAACTCCTCGTAGCGCTCTATGATCTTGTCCACTTCCAACACTTGGTCCAGGACCTGATCCAGCAAAAAGGGGAGAGTCAGTCTCGTTCCACACGGAGAAAACTCGAAGTACAAGGGACGGGTCTGGTTCCGTTGTAAAGAGAGGATGGGCTGTCCTGATGGCTCTGGGCATCTCTATAGAGACTTTATCTCCCAGACCCAGGAGCGGTTCCTAAGGTCTCCACCCTCCCCAGTTTCTTGGCTCCCTCCTACCTTCCCAATCCGCTTTCCCTCCACAGCCAGAGCCTTCATCTTGGAGAAGTAGTGGTAGAAGGAGACCACATAAGTGATGATGGACTTCTCATCTGGAGCCTCCATGTTCACATCTGGCGGGAGAGGGGATTCAAGGAACACAGTGGAGCCTCTATCTGTGTGGCCTTAGGCAAAACAACCTCTCTAGGCCTCAAGGGTTGGTGTTTTCTTTCTCTTTTTAAATTTTTTAATTAAAAATATTATTTTATCATTTTCTCTCTGGGTGTTCTGCCTGTGACTGCGCCATGTGTGTGCAGTGTTATTAGAGGCCAGAAGAGGGCGCCAGATCCCTTCCAGTTGCAACTATTGGTGCTCGGAACTGAACCTCCAGATCCTCCCCAAGATAGGTCGCCACTTTTAGCCACTGAACCCATCTTGCTATTCCTGGTTTTCTTTTTCTTTTCTTTCTTTCTTTTTTCTTGAAAAATAGGAGGGGTCAGTTTCTCTTTGCTTTATTTGTTTGTTTGTTGTTGTTGTTGTTGTTGTTGTTTTTCAAGGTAAGGTTTCTCTGTGTAGCCTAGCCTGTCCTGGAACTCACTCTGTTGACCAGCCTAGCCTGGAACTCAGAGATACGCCTGTCCCTGCCTCCCAAATGCTGGGATTACAGGCATGAGCCACTACTGACCAGCTATTTTTTCTAAAAAATTGTAAACTTTATTCTTATTTATATGTATGTGTGCCCTGCCTACATGTATGTCTGTATATCACATGTGTTGTGCAGTGCCCATGCATACCAGAAGAGGGCAGTGGATGTCCTATGACTAGAGTTACAGACAGTTGGGAGCCACTATTTGGGAGCTGGGCATAAAACCTCTGAAAGAAGAATCTGTCAGTTTCCTTACCTAGAGTCGTCTCTCCCAACCCTAACCCTTTTGGCTTCCCCTCCCCTTTCCTTTTTTTAATTTATTTTTATTTTAATGTGCATTGGTGTTTTGCCTGAATATGTGCCTGTGTGAGGGTGTAGGATCCCCTGGAACTGGAGCTACAGAGAGTTGTGAGCTGCCATGTGGGTGCTGGGAACTGAACTCAGGACCTCTGGAAGAGCAGCCAGTGCTCTTAATGGCTAAGCCATCTCTCCAGTCCTTCCTTTCCTTTTCTTTTCTTTCCTTTTGTTTTTCTTTTCTTTTCTTTTCTTTTCTTTCTTTTTGACAAGGTCTTACTGTGTGGCTACAGCTGGCCTGGAATTTGCTTTGTAGGTCAGAATTGTCTTGAACTCACAGAGATCCACCTGCTTCTACCTCCCAAATTCCATCTGCTTGGGTTTTTGTTTCTTTTTCATTTTGTTTTGTTTTTTAATCTGTCCAATGGGGATCTTTTAAGTCATGGGATTAAACAGTGTCTGACACACAACCACAGATAAACTATCTATAGTTATTTCTTTTTAACCAGATTAATTATTGAATTAATTCTGTGCTGTGCAGGACTGGTTCTCTCCTTCTCCATGAGGGGCTCTGGGACCGAACTCACAGTATCAGGCTTAGTGACATCTTTACCAGGTGTCTCGCTGGCCCCTGTGTTACTTCTGAGCACCGAACTATCCGTGCCTACCACCCCAGCCCTCACGCATGTATGTGCTTGCTGCCTCCAGACCGTTCTCCCTCTGAATGCACAGCTGTCACCCACAGTTCATTCCCTCACACAAGCCTCATCCTGCCTGGATCACATTCCTTACCTCATTTTCTCTCATTATAGTCTCTCATAACACCGTGTGTGCACAGTGTCTGTCTGTGCATCTGTCTTGTCTGTGTATTTGTGTCTCTGTGTCCTGCAAGAATTCTGTCACTGTTCCGTTGACCAGTCGTGAGGGACCGTTTGGCCCAGGGGGCAGAGTTGGAGAGGAGGGCGGGGCAGGGTGGAGGAGCCGGCCAAATGAAGCAGTGATATAATCCCCATAGCATCTGTGTGTGTCTTTATGTGTGTGAGTGTATGTGTGTGTTTCTATGTGTG